GAGAAACCAGATGACAGCTGGAGGAAACCACCAGTGCTAAAAATGCTCAGAAAGAGGGGGTCAGGGAAGGCGGGGGAGAACAACACTGAACAACTTCCCCAGGCAGGACCTTACATGCGGACAGGCCTAGAGTATTTAAGTAGAATTAGGAAGGAAAGGGAGGGGAGGAAGTAGAGTTAAGCATCCCTCACAGTCTTGGGACAACAAACAGGCCCCATACTGACACCAACAGTGAAACATTGACAAACACACATCCAACTTCATAGAGACACACTAGCATATTCTCTCTCTTTCTTTTTCTTTTTTTTGAGACAGAGTCTCATTCTGTCACCCAGGCTAGAGTGCAATGGCATGATCTCGGCTCAATGCCACCTCCACCTCCCAGGTTCAAGCGATTCCTCTGCCTCAGCCTGTGGAGTAGCTGGGATCACAGACATGTACCACCATACCTCTCTTTCTCTCTTTCTTCTTTGACACAGGGTCTTACTCTGTCACCCAGGCTGGAGTAGTGCAGTGGTGTGACCACAGCTCACTGCAGCCTTGAACTCCTGGGTGCAAGTGATCCTCCCACCTCAGCTCCATGAGTAGCTAGAACTGCAGGCGTGAGCCACCATGCCCAGCTGATTTTGTATTTTTCATAGAAAGGGAATTTTGCCATATTGTCCAGGCTGCTCTTGAACTCTTGAACTTAATCAATCCATCTAACTCAGCCTCCCGAAGTACTGAGATTATAGGCATCAGCTATGATGTCCAGCCAAGAACCACATTTCAATGATCTGTTTAAGTCTGTCTTTTCTACTACACAGTGAGCTCCTTAAAAAATCAAGGCTTTTTGAGTTATAATATATCAGAAGCTACAAAAAATAATAAAAGTAAAACAAACAAACAAAAAAATCAAGTTTGGGAGGCCACGGTGGGAGGATCGTTTGAACTGAGGAGTTGAGGCCAGCCTGGGCAACATAGTGAGACTCTGTCTCTCTTCTTCTTTTTAGTTTTTTGAGACAGAGTTTCACTCTGTTGTCCAGGCTGCAGTGCAGTGGTGAGATCTCAGGTCACTGCAACCTCTGCCTCCCATGTTCAAACAATCTCATGCCTCAGCCTTCCGAGTAGCCAGGATTACAGGCACCCACCATCATGTCCGGCTAATTTTTGTATTTTTGTAGAGATGGGTTCCACCATGTTTGCCATGCTGGTCTAACTCCTGACCTCAGGTGATCCACCTGCCTCAGCCTCCCAAAGTGCTGGGATTACAGGCGTGAGCCACCGTGCCCAGCGAGACTTTGCCTTTTAAATAATAATAATAATAATAAAATCAAGGCTTTGTCTTGGCTTCTACTTGTGCTCAAAAGTTTTCCATAGATCTCACTAATTATCACAAAACCCCTTAAGACTAGAGTTCATTTTACAGATGAAATCCAGAGAGTGTGTTGCTCAGTACACAGCCAATGGGTTTCAAAACTGTTATTGTATTTAAACCCAGCATTATCTCATTTTGAGCCTCCATGGGCACCTCAAACTCTTTATGTCTAAAGTTTGTCACCTCCACCCCTCCCCCAAAATGTGCTTCTTCCTAAGTTTTGTTTCTCATTAAATGGCACCACCCAGTGGTCCAAATTAGAAATCTGGATGTCCTCGTGGAGTCCAACACCTAAGTTGGCACATCCAGTCAATTAAGTCTGTTTGCCTCCTGAAAGTTCTCAAAGGTACTTTCTTTCCTCCAGTCCCACGGGTATTACCTACTTTGTGTGAGCTTCATCTTATTCATGGATTTCTGCAGTAACCTTCTAAATAGTCTCCCTGCCTCCAGTCTTGACTACTTCAATTAGTGCTCCACATGTCCTGAAGTTCTGATCACAGCACTCTCTATTTACAGCACATTAATGCCTTCTTCTTGCCCTGTGTATAAGATCCAAACTCTTTTAATGTGGTTTGTGGGGTCCATTATTTGGCACCTGTTTACCTCTTCAGTCTTATATCTCAACATTCCCTTCACTCTACTGACCAGCCTTGGGGGCCCAGTTTTAATTTTCCAAACTCTGTAATTTCTTCCTTGTTTCCAGACTTTTGCACTTACGGTGTCCTCTGCCTGGAACACTGCTCATCTGCTAAAAGTTAATTTTCAGACGGATGCAGTGGCTCACATCTGTAATCTCAGCACTCTGGGAGGCTGAGGTGGGCAGACCACCTGAGTCAGGAGTTTGAGACCAGCCTGGCCAACATGGAGAAACCCTGTTCTACTAAAAATACAAAATTAGCAGGGTGTGGTGGCGCATGCCTGTAATTTCAGCTACTTGGGAGACTGAGGTGGGAGAATCACTTGAACCCGGGAGGCGGAGGTTGCAGTGAGCTAAGATCGTGCCATTGGACTCCAGCCTGGCAAAAGAGCAAACTTCCATCTCAAAAAAAAAAAAAAGTAATTTTCAGAAAAAGGTAAAATTATGACACTCATACTGTTAAAGAAAAAATTATTCTGACACTTGTTAAAACAGTAAGGAAGACTCTTCTGGACTATTGCAACAGTCAATGAGCAGAATCAGTCAGTAGATGGGAGGAAAATTACATCAAGGCTAGGAGGATGCTTGCTAAACAGACCTTGACCTAACAGGATCTTTCCTGAAGGCAAGTGAGGGTGATGAGATAGATCAGATATCAGGAGTGGATGGAGAAGTGGGCAGGGAATTATCCCTAAACAGATTTGGCAGGATTCTTGCAATAATTGGCTAGGCAGGTCCAGGACAGGGCCTAAGGACAAGACCTAGTCAAAAAGGTGTCAGAAGAGCCTGTTGAAAGTTTCATTAAGGAGAGGGTCTTTGTCAATATAAAAATAAATACGTAGGCTGCGCACAGTGGCTCACGCCTGTAATCCCAGTACTTTGGGAGCCCAAGGCGGGTGGATCACGAGGTCAGGAGTTTGAGACCAGCCTGGCCAAACTGGTGAAACCCCGTCTCTACTAAAAATACAAAAATTAGCCACGCACGGTGGTGGGTGCCTGTAATCCCAGCTACTCAGGAGGCTGAGGCAGGAGAATCATTTAAACCTGGGAGGCGAAGGTTGCAGCCACTGGACTCTAGATGGGGCAACAGAGCAAGACTCCATCTCAGAAAAAAAAAAATGAACACATTTGCCTCGAAGACTGGGTATTTGGAAAAAAGAAAAGGAAAGGAAAGGAAAAAAGAGGAAGGAAGGAAGGAGACAGAGAAGGAAGGAAAAAAGAAATTAAGAGAAAAATGAACCCTTGTTGATTTTACTTAACTGATGAAGAAACTAGCAGATGTTATAATACAAGAAAAAATCTAGAGAACAGACTTTATTTATTTATTTTTTTTTGAGATGGAGTTTCGCTGTTGTTACCCAGACTGGAGTGCAATGGCACAATCTCGGCTCACCACAAGCTCCCCCTTTTGGGTTCAAGCAATTCTCCTGCTTCAGCCTCTCAAGTAGCTGGGATTACAGGCACACACTACCAAGCCCAGCTAATGTTTGTATTTTTAGTAGAGACGGGGTTTCACCTTGTTGACCAGGATGGTCTCGATCTCTTGACCTCATGATCCACTCGCCTTGGCCTCCCAAAGTGCTGGGATTATAGGCATGAGCCACCGCGCCCAGCCATGAACAGATGTAATCATGGATCAGGAAAACAGAAATGAATATGAAAATGGAGGCTCAGACTGCTTTTTCTTTTTTTGAGATGGAGTTTCACTCTTGTCACCCAGGCTGGAGTGTAGCATCTAGATCTCTGCTCATTACAACCTCCACCTCCCAGGTTCAGGTGATTCTCCTGCCTCAACCTCCCAAGTAGCTGGAATTACAGACATGTGCCATCATGCCCAGCTAATTTTTGTATTTTTAGTAGAGACAGGATTTCACCATGTAGGCCAGGCTGTTCCCAAACTCTTGACCTCAAGCGATCCACCCTCCTAGGCCTCCCAAAGTGCTGGGATTACAGGCGTGAACACAGTGCCCAGCTCCAAGCTGCCTTTTTTTCCCCACAATGTGGGGAGTAGCAGGTTAATTGAACCTCTACAGGACAGAATTTGCATACAGATCAGTTACCTATACTGAATTGTAAAATAACTTCCATGAAAACAGACTCTTTAAAGCAGAAGGATATACTACAGATAAGTCCTTCAGATTTCCCCGTTAGCCTTCACTTCTGGGAAACCTTTCTGGCATCTCTGTGTATGAACGAGTTGCCACTTGTAGGCCAGCATATTTATCACATTATATTGTTTACATCCCTCCCTCCATACAAGATACACAATATCATGGGCTTTCTGAGGCAGATTCTGTGAGTTATTCAAGTCTTTGATTGTTTCTTCAGCGTGAACATCTGCTTCAAAGGAACACAATGTATACTGGGGGGAGTGTTTGTCATAAGGTAAACATATTACATATTAACGGAGCATCCATTTTTACTCTCATATTTGGGGAAACACAATTTTACTTTAAAGAATACTCTGCCTTTCCCTCCACATTCAATGTTTCATTGTTTTATTAACTAATCGTTTTTTTTATTTCCAGGCCTGCGAGATACCATGGGAATACAAAAATGCGCTAGAGCAGTCCGCAACGCTGTAGCCTGCGTGAGGAACAATTGATACTAAGTGGCACTAGGCTGCAGGGGGTGCCACCGACACTGGGAGAGGGCTCAGCAAACCCCAGGGTGATAATGAGTTCAGCGGGAGCACCAGAAACCGGCTCACTAGCCTCTTGATCAGTCTCGGCCCAGAGGAAAAGGAAGGGCTTGAGCTTCTGCTTTTATAAATTTGAGGGGCAGGAAATGAAATCCCACTAGCAGTCTGCGGAGTGCACGTGAGCTCCCGCTCCCCCTCCCGCTCCCCAAGGGGTAGCCTACGACGTGTTCGAAGCGGACACTCTCCGGCGCCGCTCCCGCACCAGCCCCCGGCCACGCGGTACCTCAGACCTTGTGCCTCCACAGCCCGGGTTGCTCCGCCCCGAGGCCACGCCCCATGACGCGAGGCTCCGCCTCCGCGGCGCCCGCTTCCAAGATGGCGGCAGTGATGCTTGCCCGGCTGCCGGGGTGGCGGTGACGACAGGCAGCAAAAGACCGGGTATGTACACTGAGGACGCGTGGGGACGGAGGTCTGGGATAAAGGTTCGGGCAGTCGAGAGGGTGAGAAGTTTGAGTAATGCCTGGAGACGAGCCTGAGCAGGGACGGGGTCCCAGGTGGAAGTAAGGACGGGGGCCAGGCGGGCTCACGTTGCAAGGTAGGGCAAAAGCTAGAGACTGGGATGGGATGGGCGTGCTCCGAAAGAGCTGGGTTTTAACCCCCTGTATAGCGCGGACCACGCCCCTCCAGGTGAGCCCTTCCACCAACCCCGACTGTCTCTGCCCCTGCTCTTCCTCTCCCCTCTCTTCAGCAGTAACCCTCCTCCCAACCCCCCAGAACGGGGGAAAGGTAAAAAAAAAGGTAGAGGACGCCATCCACACCCTACTCTCCGCCGAGCTCCGGGGCTGTCTGCTTTCAGCTCCCAGGTGGTCATGGTCCCTGCACCTGAGGAGCTGGTGCCCAGGAAGAACGGAAGGAGCCTGTTTCCTACTTCACCCTGGGTACTCCTTAGTCCATTCCACGGTCCTGTCATGACCCTGTCGTCACTTGAACGGGTTCTTGGTCTGGGGGAAAACTGTTTCCATTAGCTGCCCTATCCCCACTCCCCAAACAAGTCTATCGTGTTGGGATGGAGGTACGGGGGTGATTAAGTATGAACCTGACACTGTCATTGCAGAGTAGCACGGGAGAGAGGCAAGGGACCTACCATCTCCTGCTCCTCCCCTTCCTTTCCAACCACTTTGCTTCACTTCACCTGCTGGGAAACCGGCTTCACCCTGATCCTGATCTCTGGCGGTGCAAGTGTCTAGTTATCCTTTACCACTTCTGTTCCAGCTGGTCCCAGATTTGCTGCTGGAGTGCTAGATGGAGCCTTTCTCTGCCCTCTGTGACATTTCCAATTTTAGATAATGCCTCACATCTCTGTCCCCCCGGGACCCCCTGGAGCCCCCATGATCGCCAAGAAGACAGCTTGAACCTAGGTGAGTCTATATCTTCCCCTCTAAAATGGGAAGAGGGGTATTCTAGAGACTTCTGAAATGAACATGAGACTTGAATGATGTAAACATTCTTGGGGGTGAGGACTGACAGTAGATGGTAGGAGTGGTTTGGGGGGAGGTAGAAGAGAGTGAAACTTGGGCTGAAGTGACAGGTGGTAGGGATACTGGTGGTTACATTCTATTTTGTTTCCTTGCATGACTGTGCACCTGTGTGCTCCCTTCTGTGACTTTGTTCTCTGCCTCTTTTTCCTCTTTACCCCTGTCACCACCTTCATCCCTACCCACTGACCTCTCTGCTGGCTTGCTCTCTTCCTGCCTACCCCTAGAATTCCCCTTTCCCTTCCTAGATCTCACCCCCAGGATGTTGCGGAGGCTGCTGGAGCGGCCCTGCACGCTGGCCCTGCTTGTGGGCTCCCAGCTGGCTGTCATGATGTACCTGTCACTGGGGGGCTTCCGAAGTCTCAGTGCCCTATTTGGCCGAGATCAGGGGCCAACATTTGACTATTCTCATCCTCGTGATGTCTACAGTAACCTCAGTCACCTGCCTGGGGCCCCAGGGGGTCCTCCAGCTCCTCAAGATCTGCCCTACTGTCCAGAACGATCTCCTCTCTTAGGTAAGTGCAGGAGGAAGGAGGTTGTGAAAGGAAGGACAAAGGTGTGGGAACAGGAGGCTTGGGGATAGGGAGGCATGAAGTGGCAGGAGTGGGACTTAGAAGAGGATAATGGACTCTGAAGATAGGCTGAGGTTGAGATAGAATGGACTCTGAATTCAGAGTTTAGATTAGACTGTTGCGTTTCCACTTTTTTTTTTGTTTTTGAGACCCAGTCTCGCTCTGTCACCCAGACTGGAGCGCAGTAGCGCAATCTCAGCTGACTGCAACCTTCACCTCCCAGGTTCAAGCAATTCTCCTGCCTCAGCCTCCTGAGTAGCTGCGATTATAGGCGGGCACCACTATGCCCAGCTAATTTTTGTATCTTTAGTAGAAACGGAGTTTCACTACCTTGGCCAAGCTGGTCTTGAGCTCCTGACCTTGTGTTCCACCTGCCTCAGCCTTCCAAAGCGCTGGAATTACAGGCATGAGCCACCCTACACTGCCTGCCCCTTTATGGGCTTTTCCTGCCCCAGGCTAGGAATTGTTTTCCTTGTAGATGAGCCCTGGTTTAATTAGTTGCAAGTCTTGTTCTCTCCAGCCTTCAACTGTAGCTTCCAACCCTGTGAGACAGGAGAAAGTTATGCAACCCTAAAATGAGAAAAGTAGGGTAGGTAAGGATCCTGCACCTTCCAGCCTTTGTAGAGCTGTCCCAATGAAGGGCAATCAAGGCATGTGAGATTTCTGAGTGAGCGCTAAGAACTAAACCCCCGAACCAGACTGCCAGTGCCAGAAGTATTTCCAGACCCTAGTTTGATTCTTTTCTCTTTACCCCTCTGATCCCTCTACTTGCCATTCCTTCCCAACAGTGGGTCCTGTGTCGGTGTCCTTTAGCCCAGTGCCATCACTGGCAGAGATTGTGGAGCGGAATCCCCGGGTAGAACCAGGGGGCCGGTACCGCCCTGCAGGGTGTGAGCCCCGCTCCCGGACAGCCATCATTGTGCCCCATCGTGCCCGGGAGCACCACCTGCGCCTGCTGCTCTACCACCTGCACCCATTCTTGCAGCGCCAGCAGCTTGCCTATGGCATCTATGTCATCCACCAGGTACCCCCAATCTCCACTTCATTTTGACTTTCTTCTAAGGACTCCTCAAGCACATGCCATGCCACTCACATCTAATGGGTCCCTAGAATAATTTTAAGAAGGCCAGACTATCGAGTGCGGAGAGGCACCTGGCACTGCTCTTCCAAATCTGTTAGTCCCATACCTCTCCTTAATCTGCTTAGGTTGTTCCCACTGTCCTACACTTTTCTGTGATTTTTTCCTTTGTTGAATGCCTTGTGCATATTTAGAATTGGACACAATAGGGCTAAAATTCTAGTTCTGTCATTTGTTACATATATGACTCTGAGCAAGAAACTTAACCGTCTAAGATGAGGCATGAGCAGAAGATAACTACTACACCAGCTGTTCCGCACCACACCATTGTTGTCAAGATTAAACACTAGACAGCAGCATCTAAGTATCAGGCCCATACCAATACACAAGCTAGATCTGGCAAATGACTAAATGGAAAAATAAAAAGATAGTCTTTCTTTTTCATTCTCCTTTCCCTCCGCCCCACTTTGATTTCCTTCTTTCTACTTTTATTCTTTAGCCCCCTCTTCTCCATGCCACCTACAGACATAGTCTGGTCCCCCTCCATTATCTTCCAGGCTGGAAATGGAACATTTAACAGGGCAAAGCTGCTGAATGTTGGGGTGCGAGAGGCCTTGCGTGATGAAGAGTGGGACTGCCTGTTCTTGCATGATGTGGACCTCTTGCCAGAAAATGACCACAATCTGTATGTGTGTGACCCCCGGGGACCCCGCCATGTTGCTGTTGCTATGAACAAGTTTGGATACAGGTAGAGGGCATGGAAGGGTGCTGGGAAACAGGGAAGCCCATTGTCCAGTGGAAGGAGGAGAGCCAAGCGGATTGTGGTAGGGGATGTCTCCCCAGAAGACTTGTGGCATGCAAGGATCTTTCTCTCCCCAGCCTCCCGTACCCCCAGTACTTCGGAGGAGTCTCGGCGCTTACTCCTGACCAGTACCTGAAGATGAATGGCTTCCCCAATGAATACTGGGGCTGGGGTGGTGAGGATGATGACATTGCTACCAGGTCAGACTTCCTGCCACCCCCTCCCACCTGAGCTCAGTCTGGATTCCTGTCCTCTAAGACCGCCTCTGGCCATAGTCCTTCAACACAACCTTTAGGTCCCTGGTCTTGCACTGAGCCCATTTATTTCCCTTAGTCTTTCCAGGATACCCAGGTCAGGCTTGCATGCTGCTGCCCATTGTGTCATCCCTCAGTCTCCTGTTAGTTTGTTCTTGGGAAAGGACCTAAGATCAATAGGAAATGGTATCACTGGATTCCAAGGCTGGAAAGCGGCCCAGAGACAGTTTAGTCTTGCCTTTGCTAGGGTTCCAGCCAGACCACTTCCTGTGGGGTTAGGAGAGAGGGACTCTGCTCCATTGTATCCCAGAATCATTTTGTAAAAGGCCTTTGCTGTTGGCACAGGGCCAACTCATTTTAAGCATGTGAAACATTCTGACCTTCCCAATTTCATGTCTGTGGTATGAATATTTGGGCTTGGTATGCAGGACCAATTGCCTCCCCTACCCCTGTGTCCTCTGTGATGACATCTCTGAATTCTCATCCTCTGTATGAAGCACCCTGTGAATTGTAAATATATATAAATATTCTTCTAGTTCCTTCCCAGGCCATCTGCACTCCATGCTTGTGTGTGTCAGAGGTGGATTTTGTTTCTTTCAAGGCCCTGATTACCTGGTTCTACCCTTTTCTTTTCTTTTTTTTTTTTTTGAGACAGTTTCGCTCTTGTTGCCCAGGCCGTAGTGCAACGGCGAGGTCTCAGCTCACTGCAACCTCCGATTCCTGGGTTCAAATGATTCTCCTGCCTCAGCCTCCCCAGTATTTGGGATTACAGGCATTCACCACCACGCCCAGCTAACTTTGTATTTTTAGTAGAGATGGGGTTTCATCATGTTGATCAGGCTGGTCTTGAACTCCTGACCTCAGGTGATCCACCTGCCTCGGCCTCCCAAAGTGCTGGGATTACAGGCATGAGCCACCGTGCCTGGCCTCTTTTGAGGGTTTTTTTTTTTCCTCCCTTAGAGACAGGGTCTCATTATTTTCCCAGGCTGGCCTTAAACTCTTGGCCTTAAGTGATCCTTCTGCCTTGGCATCCAAAAGTGCCAGAACTGCAGGTGTGAGCCACTGCACCTGGCCTACCTTTTTCTTAACATGGGGGATGTGGGAGAGAATTTGGGGTAGCTCAGTCACTGTTCTAAATAGGAATTGCTGAGCTTGGGTCTGCAACTCCCAGTCTTTTCTTATCCTTTTGACAGAATGGCCTCTCTCTCTGTGTCCTTCCTAGACTGCAAGGGCAGCTCCTAGGAGCCATTTAGGAAGCCAGGGAGGAGGTGCAAACCTACCTTTGCCAACTGTTTAAAAGCTCCAGGGTGACTGGCACTGGGCCCTGAGGATTTGGATACATCCAGCGTTTACATTCTCTTCACCCGTTTCCTTCTTTCTGTTTGACTTCAGCCCTGGACTCTTTTTTTTTTTTTTTGTCTTACTGAGCAATGGTTGTTTGTTGTGTACAGAAACATGGAATCCCTTCTTTGCTTTCTTCCACTCTGGATCCTCCATGATCCCCTCACTTTTCCCACAGGGTGCGCCTGGCTGGGATGAAGATCTCTCGGCCCCCCACATCTGTAGGGCACTATAAGATGGTGAAGCACCGAGGAGATAAGGGCAACGAGGAAAATCCCCACAGGTAGGAAGGAAGGAAGGACTGCCTGGGAATTGTAACTGGATCCTAGCCAGGAAACTCCTAAAAGTCCCTAGATTTCTGGCTCTTCCTTTCTGTGTCTTAGTCTCCAACTTCTAACCCTCAGATTTGACCTCCTGGTCCGTACCCAGAATTCCTGGACGCAAGACGGGATGAACTCACTGACATACAGATTGCTGGCTCGAGAGCTGGGTCCTCTTTATACCAACATCACAGCAGACATTGGGACTGACCCTCGGGGTCCTCGGGCTCCCTCTGGGCCCCGTTACCCACCTGGTTCCTCCCAAGCCTTCCGTCAAGAGATGCTGCAACGCCAGCCCCCAGCCAGGCCTGGGCCTCCACCTACTGCCAACCACACAGCCCTCCGAGGTTCACACTGACTCCTCCTTCCTGCCTACCTTAATCATGAAACCGAATTCACAGGGTTGTATTCTCCCCACCCTCAGCTCCTCACTGTTCTCAGAGGGCTGTGGGGGAACTGAACTCTGGTGCCGTGCTAGGGGGCAGGGGTCTCTCCGCACTGCTGGACTGGAGCTGGGCTCCTCTAGACCTAGGGGGGACCCCTCTTTCTAGGGTCTCCTGTAGGGTTTATGACTGTGAATCCTTGATGTCATGATTTTATGTGATGATTCCTGGGAGTCCCTGCCCCTAGGGCAGGAGCAGGGCTGGACCCCAAGCCCCTTCCTCTTCATGGAGAGAAGAGTGATCTGGCTTCTCCTGGGACCTCTGTGAATATTTATTCTATTTATGGTTCCTGGGAAGTAGTTTGGTGAAGGAAGCCCCTCCCTGGGCATTTTCTGCCCATGCTGGAATAGCTCCCTCTTCTGGTCCTGGCTCAGGGGGCTGGGATTTTGATATATTTTCTAATAAAGGACTTTGTCTCGCATCTGCTTCTGCTTTCTGTATCCCAGGCACACTTTGCCTCTTTGCTCACCCCTACGTTTTTATGCCTATAGGTGATAGAACAGCCAGACCAAGCCAAGCTCCAGCAACTTTTATTTCCATGAGTGAGAGTTGGAAATCAGCTGTTAGGTTCTGTGCCCACGACACTGACTGCTGCCTGGCGCCCACTCTCTATACAGTCATTAACAGCAACCCCCTCATAGGAGGCTCCAGCCAGAGCCAGGGGCAACCTGTGAGCGGCCAGGAATTGCCTCGCTGACTCTGGAAGGAAAGCATGAAAGGAATGTTATAGCTAGGGGCCTGATGCCCTTGGCCCTCCTCAACCCAGCTATTTTCCCAACTTACCTAGTTTTTGCCAGTGACCCAGTGTATACTGGGGGATGCAGTTCTGAGAAGAGAGGATGCAGGGAAAGTTTATTATTGATGCCCCAGGCCTTGGCTGACACAGTGGCAAATGTTCCAGTCCCTGTCTTCAAGGCCTTCAACGGAGAGTTGAGGGAAGTTTATCCCAACTTACCTTGTGTAGATGGACCAAGCAGTGACTCGGCAGCTCCTTCAGTCCTAATTGTGTGGCAGCTGCTTCCTGTGCCCGCTGTTGAAACAGCTCCTGAGATAAGACACAGCCACTGGCCTCCAGCGTCTGTAACCAGGAACCTCCCAGCATCACCTAGGGAGGGAATATAGCACTGATCAGTCTTGGCCTTGCCTATACTAGAGCACAGAGGAGCCCTCTGGAAATGCCACTAGACAAAGTTTCCTCCTCTCACAGTCACTCTGAGGCCAGGGGGGCTCCCATCCTGCTCAGGGAAAGCAACTGAGTCATACACAATTCCCAGGACGCCTGGATCTTCTGAAGATGGCACCAAGTGTCCAAATCCCTAGAGAGAAGGACATTCATGGGTCAGAAGGAAAGGGCTCTAGCTGAGCCTGTCTCTCCTCCTTTTTTTGCCGGGGGCAGGGCGGGGGGGAAACAAGGTCTTGCTATGTCACCCAGGCTGGACTGCAATGCAGTCAGCTCACTGCAACTTCCACCTCCCAGGTTCAAGGGATTCTCCTGCCTCAGCCTCCTGAGTAGCTGGGATTACAGTTGTGTGCTACCACACCTGGTTAATTTTTATATTTTTCATAGAGATGGGGTTTCACCATGTTGGCTAGGCTGGTCTCAAACTCCTGACCTCGTGATCCACCCACCTTGGCCTCCCAAAGTGCTGGGATTACAGGTGTGAACCGCTGCATTGAGCCTCTCCTTCCCTTCTTTATCATACCTGGACAGGTAGATGAGCTCCTCGGTACTGCAGATTTACCACAGCTACAGACACAGCAGTGATGGCACTCAGGGCACGAGCCAGAGGTGCAGCCTCAGCAGGTAGCAGCTTGCTGAGCACTAGAGGTAAGGCAGAGGCCTGATTCAGGAGGCATTCCCACTACAGTTGTCAGTCTTCTTTGGGATTAGACTCCCATAGAGATAATCAGTTCAGGGGCATGGTGTGGTCCTGCTGGCCCCAGAAGGTACAGCTTTTGCCTCTCGCTGGTAGGGGTAAGCGAAGGGGAAGGTGGCTATCCCATTACCTGAAGCTGGAATGGCACTAATAATGTGGTCAGCCTTCAGACTGCTGTCCCCTAGAGATACCTGAGAGAATGAAAACATTTGAGAGACCCAGAAAATGAGAATTTGATGAGTGAAAAGAGATTTCTGGTGCCTCACTCTCAGTTTCCCAGGCACCCATGTGGCCGGGAAGACTGCATTCTGACCCAAGATGAAGAGGTTGGGTGACTGTGCAGACTTCACAAAAATCACTCCTCTGTGGACTCCAGGAAGTGGACCAGACAGGCCAGTGTGGCTGTTCTAAAATGTTCAGTAAAGCTGGGTTCTTTTTTTTTTTTGAGACAGACTTTTGCTGTTGTTGCCCAGGCTGGAGTGCAATGGCATGATCTTGGCTCACCACAACCTCTGCCTCCCAGGTTCAAGCAATTCTCCTGTCTTAGCCTCCTGAGTTGATGGGATTACAGGCATGTGTTACCATACCCGGCTAATTTTTTTGTATTTTTAGTAGAGACAGGGTTTCTCCATGTTGGTCAGGCTGGTCTCAAACTCCTGATCTCAGGTGATCTGCCTGCCTCGGCCTCCCAAAGTGCTGGGATTACAGGCATGAGCCACCATGCCCAGCAAAGCTGGGTTCTTTCCCCTAACTCTAAGCCACTTATAAGTACTACTTCTATCTACAGACTTGCATAGGGTCTTTGACAAAGATTCACAAATAGGGCCTAGGATTCTGGGGTAGCCCATGTCTAAGTAGCTTCTAAGGCACGAAAACAATGAGGAATTCCAGTTCTATTGGCCCTGGCCTAGTTAACTCAGATAAAGATGGAAGCATTGACAGGTTCATTACACTCCAGAGGTTCCCCTACCTTCCAGCGCCCTTCTGCCTGGATGCTGAGCCCACAGACTGGTTGGCCTCTGAGAACAGTGACCCCCCTACTAGTCAGGTGGGTTTCAAGGGCCTGAGGCAACATCTCTAGACCTCCACGAAGTGACCACTGGCTCCAGCGCTCAGCCGAGGCCTGGCGAATAAGTGCTGAGTCTGGCTGTGGGGTCCGCCCTGCAGAGGAAGCAAAGAAGTATCATCGAGGGTCTGGGCATGGTGGCTCATGCCTGTAATCCCAGCACTTTGGGAGGCCTATGCAGGTGAATCATAAGGTCAGGAGTTTGAGATCAGCCTGGCCAACATGGTGAAACCCTGTGTCTACTAAAAATACAAAAAATTAGCTGGGGGTAGTGGTGGGTGCCTGTAATCCCAGCTACTTAGGAGGCTGAGGCAGGAGAATCGATTGAACCTGGGAGGCAGAGGTGGCAGTGTGCCAAGATGGCGCCACTGCACTCCAGCCCAGGTGACAGAGTGAGACTCAGCCTCAAACAAACAAAAAAAGAATCATCGAGGCTGGATGTGGTGGCTCACGCCTGTAATCCCAGCACTTTAGGAGGCTGAGGCAGGTGGATCACTTGAAGTCAGGAGTTCGAGACCAGCCTGGCCAACATAGTGAAACTCCTTCTCTACAAAAGAAATACAAAGATTAGCTGGGCATGGTGGCACATGTTTGTAATTCCAGCAACTTAAGAGGCGGAGGCAGGAGAATTGCTTGAACCTGGGAGGCAGAGGTTGCAGTGAGCGGATCTGAGATTGCACCGCTGCACTCCAGCCTGGGAGGCAAAGCAAAACTCCGTCAAAAAAAAAAAATCATTGAATAGCACCCCTTGTCCCCCGTCCCTCACTTTGGCAGTCCTTAATATCTTCACCCTTTGAACCAATCCCCCTCACCTGGCCCCAGCAGTAGGCCCAGTAATACGGAACGATGGGTTTGCTCAGCTTGGAAAAGACTGGGAAAGCAGGATCTGATACTGAGCTCACGGCTATTGCCTGCAAACACTCCACGGCAGAGACTGTCCATGGCTAGAGACGCCACCTTGAGGGTGAGACTGGGACTGAGGAGCCAAAGAATAATCTGCACTGACTCATTTCCACAGCCCCTATTTGGTAGGGAATGGGGGTGGGATAGGGTTTGGGTTGGGGGACATTCACACTATGACAGAAGGATGGAAGTGAAGGCCTTCACTCCCAATAATGAGTTTTGGGGATGGAGGGGTGTGGTACGAAGAGAAGAGGGCATCCCCAAGTGATCCAGAAGAGCCCCTAGGCGGTAGGTTCAAATGGAGAGCCCTGAAGCTGGTTTAGGAGGGAAGAGGTTTGGGGTATCTGAGCAGGTGTCACCTCAGGTCCAAGGCGGCGCTGGGCAAAACTGTGCACAGTCTCATCAGGCTCTTTGCCCCGGGGCTTAGTCAGCTCCCTCAGTCCAGCCCAAAACAGAGGTTTGGTAAACGGGGGTGAAGGGCGAAGTAGCCCCCTGCATGGAGAAAGGCATAATGAGGGAGAGGCTCCTGACATACCTCCCCAGTCCAGGAGCTAGGGTCATTTTCACTCATTTGGCTCCCTTTTGCTGGGAAGGCTGACAGGGAGATAAAGAAATATATGGAAGGCATATGAGGATGAGGGCACAGCAAAAGGGGTACAGCAAGGAGGTGTTGATGTTACCTGAGGCCAGTGGGTAAGGCATGTAGGGCACCGCCCACGTAGAGGAACCTGTTCTGGGCAGCTGGGTGGTCTCCCCGGACAGGCAGCACTTCTGAATCCAAGCCAAGCTCAGAAACCTGCTCTCCACATGCCCTCAGAAGAGGAGAAACTAAGGGAAGGTCTGACCCACCAAACATACTTCCTCTCCTAAACTCTATTCCCCAGTTAAAGCCCCTCCACAGCCTCTCCTGGACACCCACAAGCCTCTCACCAGGAGCAAGGTCCGGGCCCCTAGGGCTCCCGCTGGCCTAATTCCCCGAGGTCCAAGCTCAAAAATAGCGCCATTCGGTCCTCGAACGGAGCGAATCCAGCCTCCCAGACGCTCACTGCTCTCCACCAGGACAACCTGGCGACAAGAGAGACACTGCAGCACCTCCTGCAGCCGCCGTTGAGAGGTCAGGAAGGGAGGGGAAGAGGCACAATCGGCGGGCCAGGATCCATCTAGCTTCTGATGGAAATGGGAAAAGGGTATTAAATGAAGTTCCCTCTGGCACGAGTGGAGCACTCACCTTAGGGGGACAGGGGGCCCGGCTCAGGTGGTAACTGGCGGCCAAGCCGCTGATGCCTCCGCCCAGCACGACCACGGTCCGGCCCATGGGGAAACCTAGGGGAAAGCGGGCGATATGGACAGGCAGATCGGGGAAGCCCCTGCGCTCCAGAAGCCCCGCGGATTTTGAGTTCTACCCCCGGCCACTCACTGCTTAGGGGAAACTATGCGTGCACGGATGGGCTGGTGGAACAGTGAGGTCCCCGTCCAGGGGCCAGGACTCACCCACAAGAGGTAGGGATGAGAGAAAATGAGAGAGGAGGTCGAGGTCCTAGCACCGTACCCCGCCGGCGCTCCTCTGGGTGCAGATAAGGGCTACACCCTAGCTATCTGCCCTCGCAGGACTCGGGCGGCGGGCAGCACGCCTGAGTATGCGCTCTGCTTCCCACGCCTCGCTAGGCCAACAAGTGCTTCAAATCCGCTACTCCCACCCCCAACCCTTTCGGTCTCTCCGACTTTCCGTCCACTCTATTCTCGCGGCACGCGCCTGACCCTATCACTCCTACTTCGGGATTGGCGAGCGCTGGAAGGTCCCGGATTACGTTCACCAATGAAAACACTGAACTGGCAAAGGAGAGGCGACGGCCGCTGGAAGAGCCGGAGGTTAACCGCGTCAGCGTCAAGCTGGAAGTGAGCGGCAGTACCCGGCGCTACGCTCCCTAGGGCCGCTGCGGCGAGCGCTGGGGAGTTAGCGTTCCCCAGCAAGCTTCGTACGCCCAGCTAGGGTGACAACCCTGGAGGGAAGGCCCCAGAAGCTTGGTTCTAGGGAGAGTAGATAGGGACACTGGAGACCGGTCCACGGGGAGGCGGTTCCATAAACAGCTCCTTGATGTTAGCAACAGACCGAGCCTGCGGGAGCTAGGGCCGCCCGGCAACGTACCGTGTTTGTCAACAGTGTCAGTCCCCATCGCCCACCAAACCCGTCGCCCCAGAGCTTGCACTCTAGTTCAGGCCTCCTGGCAGCCTCACTCAAGTGTACCTTCCCTCTTTTCCTCCCAGTACTTAACCTTCGCTGCTGGGGCGCACAGGTCCGGGTCCAGCACCATCCCCGAAACCTTCCCCCTCGGCTCTAAGAGCGCCCCCACCTGTTACAGAGGGAACTGGGTCCCAGGAAGCCTCCAATTTAGCCCAGTCCTGTTTCACCCCCTAAGCAAAAATACAAATAAGCACGTCATTTTTTTCTTAATAAATTTATTCACAAAAAGTGAAATTGCAGAGGGTCTGGGGGCTGTACATGGGCAAGGGCTTGGTGAGCTCTGTACATGGGGCTGGGAGACAAGGGAGCCTCCAGGTGGAAGGGTACTTTTTATTAAAAAAAATAATGGAGCTACGACCACCCCCTCCCCCCTCCCCGATTAAAAAGACACAAAAATAGACGTCTCTGAGGTAAATGGGGAGCCTGGGGCTTAAGGATGTTTAAAGGACTTCACAGGTGCCAGGGCTTAGAGAGGGCATCACAGGCACCGGGGTGGCTCCTGCATCAGTTGGTAGAACAGCACGTAGCCCTCGCTGGATGCCACCTGGTTTTCACTGACAGGGGAGACACTAGGAAAAAGGAGATGGGGAACAGGTTGTAGTCATTCCAGTTTACCCCCTCCTCCCTACATCAGAGCATCCAGGAAGAGATCAGGCAAGACCTCCACCTCTCCTTTCACCTGGCACTCTGCTCTCCTGGGGCTTCACAGAAGGGGAGAGTGTCAGGGCTGCAGTGGGAATGGGGCAGGATGTAAACAGGAGGCTGTTCTCACCGAGAGTCATTGTAGACATGCCAACCAGTCTGGCACCGGCACAGGGCTGTGTAGTGGCCATAGTGGACGCTGCCTGAGTGGTTGCAAAGGGCATACAGCTGGTATACAGGACTTCCTGCGAGGTTGGAGATGATCAAGTTCTAAAATCAGAGCTGTGCCCCCACTCCTTCAGCTCCTTAGAACCTTCCCCACCAGACTCACCGGCTTTGTCACTGGCAAAGTCCCCTAGGCTCAGTCGTTGCAGTGGAAAGTCTACACCTACTGAACTTTTCTTGATGGAGCCTCGGGAGGCAGAAAATCGATTCAGATCTAAGCCCTGGTTAAGGAGCATTTGGGAGGCAGAGGGCCTCTGAGGGGGACTTCTGTCCTGAAGGCTGTTCTTTCCCCCCTCCCAACACACACGCAGAGTGGCCTGTGGAAAGGTGGGTGGTAGGCATTTCCTAGGGAAAATTCAATTCTCTGGAAACATGGAGAGTGAGGAAAGAGAATGTATGGGAGGTATCCTAAGAGAAGAATATGAAGATTAGGATATGGAGCACAAGGATCCGGGGGAATCTTTGTACTGTCAACTTTTTGGTACTTCGAGTTTTCTGCCGACATCGGTCACACACCTGAATAAATGGCAAACAGTGTTGGGTTAATGTGATCCTAACCTCAATTGGCTTTTCTGACACCCCAATCCATTCCGTGTGCTCCCAATTATGGCCAGATCCTCTCGGCCTCTCCCCTTTGCCCCAGGAGTACTAGAATGTGTCTGAGACTCCTACATAAATCCAGATACGGAAATATTATTCCCCATACTAAGGCATCATGCAATCCCTTTTATTCACATGGAGTCCCCCCAGGTCTCCCACCCTTACTATAATATAACCCTTGTGAACCTCCACATACTGGGGCATTCTCCGACTCTAGCTCTTCTTCCTTGGTGAAAAGGTTGAAACAATCCCGCAGAGACACCTTGCCCCCAGCAAATCCTTTCTGGGGAAAAAGGGGAAGAAAGGGTCAACATGTTCTGAATTTCCTTTTCCAACTCTTCTCAATCAATCCAGGCTTCAGTTCTGCTCCAGAGACCCACAGGGTTCCCTCCCACATTTTGGGGTGGGTAGGCTTGGGTCACCGAGCCCTTGTCCTATCCACCCTGGAATCCTCTGGAATCCCACCTTGGGGATGGGCAGGGACAGGTCACAAAAAACCTCGAAGGTCGTGGAGCGATACCCACAGGCCTGGCACTTGAGACAACTTTTCAACTGGCCCACAAACAGGTCTAGATAGAAGCACAGGGACAGGAGAAAAAGTCATTGTTGGATGCCATGAGATGATTTCTTGATTTCCATCTCTTCCTGCCCCTTTCCCACTACCAACACTCTAACCAACTCTTCACACAACATTTGCATCATCCAGTCTCATTCCCATACCCCTTGATAGTATCGATTTCCTCCCCTCAAGCCTGTACCGCCTCACACACTAATGTTCCCTCATTGCTTTGCCCCGTTCCATACCCACAATCTTGCTGTCCTCTCGCTCCAGGTAACGTTTCCACATTAGGTTGGCTCGGTCATCATCACTACCACAGATCAAGGGAAGTAGGAAGCACCCATGAGACAGTGGGAACACTGGGCACCCCCAACACCCACCGAAACAACCCACAAAGCCCTATACCCCACCCACACCCCTGCTCCTTCCCTAAATCTCAAGGAAAAGTCAAAGAAATAATGCCTCAGTGAACTTTCTAGGGAAATCCAAGGTGAGAGGAAAAGAAAGGAATGTATACAAGGAAAGAATATGCTGTCATCCTCTACTTGTAAATTAATTATCCCCTTCTCCTTCTATTTGGTGACATCCCTAGCATGATCTGCCTCCATCTGCTCCCCTTAGACTCCCCCTCTTCCTTCCTTCCATTTCTTAGAAGAGCTTTTCACACTATATTCTGTACTAAAGGGTTTCCCTGGACCCTAAATCTTCGATCTTGACTAGTTCAGTTCTATGAAATGTGAATGCTGTGGATAAACTACTGGGGAGAGGAGGTAGGGGGAGTGACCCTTACCTTAAGTCAGGTTCTTCTAGCAGAGCCCCTCCTCGGCAGGGTGGAGAGGGAGCTGGACCGCTGGCAAGGATTGGTGGAGCCCGTCGGCCTCGGCGGTTGATTTCAAGGTGCAGCCGCTCCATGAGGAGCTTCAGGAACTCTTGGGCATCCTGTTGGCTACAGCCAGGTAAAGAGTATGGGCAACTGACCCCCCTCCTAGTCCACAGACACTATTCCCTGCCCAGATATCAGTCCCCACCTCCTGGATAAAGAACACAAGGCTCAGAACAGTGCTGTCAAGGCCCTTGCTTGGCCCTACCCCTAGACATGGCCAGAGAGAAACCCCATAGCCTCCAGCTCTCCCACCTGTATCCAGAGAAGGAGGGAACATATTTCTGGAAGACAGCTCGGAATCGAGTAGGATTCACAGCTTCGCAGGAGTCAGGGTGCCAGAGGGCACCAATCACATCTGCAAAGGCTGTTGGGATATGAGTGGGGAAGGGAAATGGAGATTAATGTCTGGAAGAGGCAAGCAACAGGTGGCTAAGAGGGCGAAAACAACCTTTAGGAAAGTAGGCACTGGGAAAAGTAGATACAACTGCCAGATTTAAGGGCTGGGGGCCAGCAGCACTGGCAGATGGACCTGCAAGTGGTTGGGGAAAAAGGGACTTGAACAGAGGGAGCAGGAATTGTTGCCCCACCTTCAGTGAGCTCTTGGGCTCGGCCTCCTCCAGGCACCTCTTGCCGGAAGTCCCTTCTCAGACAGAAGTCCCGAAGAGGTCGAGTGCTGCTCAGACATTGCAGCACAGCATTCAAGAAGCACTGGGGAGCAGCAGGGACACTGCTGTTGTCTCTCCAGACCATTGCCCTGGAAGCCTTAAAAGAGCTTCAGAGCTCTCCTTCCACATGCCTTCCCCAAGCTTGCGGGTTTTCCCCAGCCCCAGCACCATTTCACATTCCTTTTAGAGAGGAAAGATAGGAGAATGACTCTCACCGTGTTTCCCAGGTTTCGAAGGCCAACATGACCAGAGCCTAGAAGCAGTGTGTGATGAGCCTGGAAGGTCAGAGTACAATCGGCAAGTTCCTATATATCCTAGCTGGCACTTTATCTTTTCAACAGCATGCTGTCCACTGCCTCCCTCATCCCATGCATGTTCCATCCCCAAACTCTACCCTTTTCCCCTCACTAGGTATTCTAGTCTCCCTACCTCACTGGTCATGAGCAGTAAGCCCATCACAGCTGAATGTACCACGGACTCAGCCATGGCTGTCCCACCTGTTGCCCACTTACTCCTCTGCTCAGCTAGCCGACGTTGCAGCTCCTGGGGCAACTCCCCAAGAACTGGCATGGTTGCCCAGCTGCTCACCACTCCCACCTTTCTGCCCCCAAAACCCCCTCCTGCCCCCGTGGCCCCTTCTTGCCCTTTCTCCTGCTGACTCCAATTGCGATCAGCCTAGCTTACTTAGCTCAGAAAATGTAAAACCACATTTGCTAAGATGTTCTGAGCCCGCCTCTCTTTAGCTCCAGAGATTAATTAGGCCCAGGCAGAGTCCCAGCAGATAAGATACAGCAAGGGAAAGGAAGGGCCTGCGAACCCAAAGAAGAATTCTAAATAGTTGGGCTAATTCCCTGGGGACTGAAACAGCACACCATGCTGGGGTCACCAACAACCCAGAAAAGGGTCTGGGAGGCTCAAGGGTATGAGAAAGGAACTTGAAGGAAATGGGGACAGGAAAGGCAGAGGATGGCAGAAAAGCATAGAGGAACATGGTCATGAAGGCCATATGAGCTGTCAAGTCCTCACCATCTTGTCATCAGAGTAGAAAGGCTCAGAGGACCGGGCGGATATCATGTGGAAGGAGCCATGGGAAGCAGGGGGCTCTGTCCGTATGCTGAACAGGGTTGGGGGTCCAGGAAAGCCCCCTAGGCGGCGGAGAGAAGTGCTACGTCTCAAAGTGGGTGGCTCAGGCCGGAGGGCCAAGCGGCTCAGCGCAGCCCCAAGCTCTCCGGTGCCACGGTGCCCTCCCAAGGCAATCCCCATCGGACGCAAGTCCCCACTGCTCACAGACTTGGAACGGGTTAAGTTGGTCCGAGATGGGAGAGGCAAAGCCACAGTTGGGGGTGGTGAGCCAGGCAGGGGAACCCCATGATCTGCTCGAAGGGGGCCTCTGGGACGAGGGCCTGAGGTACGTCCCCGTCCCAGCTCCAGTTTCTTGAGCCGTTCATCAGGGGGACCTGGCCGGGGAGGCAGAGGTCGTAACATGGGGTTTGGCCCAGAGGCTGGGTTTCTGCGCTCCTTGCTGCGGGCCCTGGGGGCAAATGGTAGCTTGGATCCCACTCGGGGCTGGATATTAACAGGTGGCTCTCGGGTCCGGCCCAGGCGGTGCTCAGAGGCCTGGGGCATTGTGGACACCACAGACTGGACCTGGGAGGAGAAGAGAGTGTCAGCATTTGAACATGGGAGGAAACAGGAACAGGCTACTGTACTGCACCCTGCCACACTAATTTTCCCTTATTGCTTTGCCCCATTCCATACCCAATATTTTGCTGTCCTCACACTTTCCACATTAGATTGGCTCAGTCATCACCACTACCACATCAACAAAAGTGGGGAGCAGTATATGCACTAAGGGCAGGAACCAGGTCTACTGAATCAGCCATCATATCCCCAATACCTGGCATTGTGTTTGGTATAAATACTTAGTATCTATGGGGTAAACGAATGAAGGAAAGATAGCAGCCCATGGCTTTGACCCTTTCTATACTCCCGTCCCCTGCCTGCAGAATACAGCTTTACTGAAAATCCAGTGATAACTTCTATCTGGGCTCTAACATAACATGGGACCCCACACCTGGCTAATAAAGTAGGATGTGCCTCGAGTCACTTAAGACCTCCAACCAAATGATAGTGCAGATGCAAGAATAACAGCCCCAAAGATAGCCCTCCATCCTCAAATCCCTGCCCCTTTGGGCTGCTAAATGAAGCAGACTAAATGGGTGACTTACGATCCATTCCCTCCCCCATCTTCGACCTCCGACATTGTGTCGAGGTTCAGGGGCAGTGATCGGGGTTGGAGGACGAACAACTCCTAGACCCTTAATCTCTGCACCTCTCCCACCACAGCAGGGCTTTAGCCGGGTCCGCCCCCCTCGAGGGCAGAAAGGCCGAGGCCGCTGATTGGCTACGGAATCCGGCGGGGTATTCTCCGAGGTCCAGGGATGCTGTCCCTCCAGCCCAGTTCTCCCAGGTCCCACCGGGCCCCACGCGCCTTTGTGGAGAGTGTCCTCTCGGGTCTGGAGCAGTCTTCCCTCTGCGCCCCCCCACACCCCGCCATGCCATAACGCCCCGGCCCGTACCTGTCCCCCGGTGAGGCGGCGGGAGAGGCCAGCCGGGGCCAGGTGCAGCTCAGGGCCACCCCCTACTACCCCCGTGCAGCGCCCCCGTGGGCTCGGCTGCAGCTTTAGCCGCAGCCGTTGCCCAGATCGCTCCCGCCGCAGGGGCCGCCGCCATCTTTGTTGGTCCCGCCCGGCCACCGGCCACCGGCTTCACCGGCTCTCAAAGCGCCTGCGCATCCACACTCGAACTCCTCCCACCCGGCCCCTTGGCGCTTGCGTGAGCCCGCCTCCAAGGCTCCGCGATCGACACCAAGGAAACGCGGCCAAGTTTAGGGCCGCTAGTTCTCAACCTTGTCCAGAGTGGGCTTTAATCCATGACTCCAAAGCAAGTCCCTGAGGTATAGGGTGCCGTCGCCCCATCCTATAGGCCATAGGGATGGAGATCTGACCGTCGTAGTATGGCCAGGAGGCTTACAGCACAGATCCTTCCCAAACAGCAGGGGTGCAAGTGTGGCAAGCTGCCGGCCTGGGTCCAGCCCGCAGACCAGTGGAGAAGCATTACCACTTCACAGAGGGATGGGAAGATCCCTGGAAGGCGAGAAGTGCTAGCCCTGCCAAACCATTTCTTGCAGGCTAACACAGAGTGAAGCATGGATCACCACTAAACGACAAAGGTAGATCTGAGCAGCAGGGAGAACAGTCAACATTTCATTCCCCTCTCCTGACAAGAGCATCCTCTTCGACTCCCTCTGCCCAACCCAGCGTAGCTGTTCATGTGTCTCAAGTTTTAGCCCACTTGCCCTCTCTTAACAGCTCCCAATGAGAACCACAGGCTACCAGAGGATGCAGCTTTTATTGTTATCTCCAGAAACCAGAAAGACTATGTACTCAATTTCAGTTACTCCCTATGCCTCCATGATCGCATGTTGCTCCACCTTGGGCGAATATAAATTGCCTCTAGATTTTCCAAACCCCAGTCTTTCCCTTCCCTGTGCAGCCTTAGAAACTAAGTAGCGATACTGTTTGGTGTTTGCTTCTCCCCCAGCAATGCCTGCTGCAGCTACTTAGTAACAACTAGAGGTGGAGGGTGTTCGGGGAAGTAGTTAGATGAGTTAAGTGTGATGCACAGGAAAACAGGATCACAGCTTCTCAAAGGTCCCTCTGCCCTGCCTCAGTGGCTTGATCCTTCCTTAGTTGCATTTCTCTTTGTGTTGGATGACACCCTTCTGAATCAGATCAGGGATTTCCACTGCCAGCCACGGACCCAGCTGCAATACAAGGAAAATCGTGTGAGATTACAACCGGTTAGTGCTTCTTGTTCCATTAGGAGCTCCCTCCTGGAGACATGCTTAAGGGACGACACTGTTACTCCTTTTACTCTTAGCTGCTTTTCCTGTACTGCTCAGGGCCTAAGCCCCTCTTCTTCCTCTTATACCAAATACACAAAACTTACCCCCAGAGCCATGAGATGAGCTAGTCCAAATTTGGGCACGTTCCTGGCCCACAAAGGTTTGAAGTGATCCGTCAGGCATATTTTTCCACCCCTATGAGAGGGACACATAGAAGATATTGACATGCAAAGGTTTGTGTGTGTGTGTAAGCTATTTATTAGAGAGAGAGAGAGAAGACAGCTCCCACGCTGTTGTGGGAGGAGAAGACATGCAAAGTTTACCATAAAGCACAGCAGCCTCTTGGGGGCATAGGAAGACTCCTATTGATCAGAATTAAGAACAAGGTCAGCTAAGTAGTTTGCCTAGGCTCAGAAGAGGAGAGCCTGGCACCCTACTAGGCCAGCAGACCCTGGCAAAATCTCTGCCTCCAAAGTTCTTTGTTGAGAGTTGCTGAATGAATGATAGAATATAATGTTTGCTAGAAAGAACGATGGCAAGGAAAACCTAGCCACCTCCCCCCTACGCCAGCCCAAGTAGAAAACTACTTGGGGCATTCCAAAATGGCAAGACAGTAGATGAATATCATACATAGGTTAAAACAATTCTTTAAGCGGGGGCTATGTGACCCTGCCCCGATGGATCCCTCGTGGAGAATACTTTCTGGTTTGTCCTTGATCAGTGGTAAGCAGCCACCAGCTGCCTACCTAGTTTATCTTGGTTCTATGAAAAAACACAGAACACCTGTTTGTTAATAATAATCACCTATTCAGAGAGAATAAATACATGAGTCAGCATCTGCTTGAGGTTCAGCCCACAATGCTGTCAGCCCCCAGAGGCTCTCAGCTCGGAAAGCTGCTGGCCCCCTGGATAGTCCCACTTTGCTGTTCTATCTGGGTGTCTGCTTCTTAATTCCTTCAGCACCACCTGGGTGGGGGTCTCTATGGTTGAGCTGGTCTCAGTAGTTCTTCCTTTTTTCTTCTTACAGCTTTATAAGTTCAGGGGTACATGTGCAGGTTTGTTACATAGGTAAAAATCTGCCATGGTGATTTAACGCATAGATCATCCCATCACCCAAACATCAAGCCAAGCATCCGTTAGCTATTCTTCGGGTTGCTCTCCCTCCCCCCACAAAGTTCTTGCTTAAGGCCTTCTTTGACCCCTTGCCATTTCCTATTCAGTCCTACCTGTACATCTTTGCTGTCTTTCCATCAAGCTCAGGGACTGCAATTTCTGGGGCAGTAGTAGGATACGTGATAGGAATCTGGAGAGATTATAAAGCCTTAATCAAACAGAATCAGGATTGAGAGGGACTAATCTAATCAGACATACATATTTCTTGATTAAACTGAAATGTTAAGCAAACTCCCCAAGCAGCATGTCCATACCAGGATTCTGGACAGGGAGATGAGTAACTGTAATTTATGCTTGCCTCAAACCTCAGCTTTTCCCTCCCATTTTTAAAGTTTTCTTTGGTCCCTTCAAGAAAGGTTAGCTTGTTACCAATCATCTAATCCCTCCCCTTCTACTAACTTTCATAGTTCCACTCCATCACACTCACGTCAAACTCGATGTCAAACTCGTATTTCAGGAGGTCATGGATATACCAGCATTTTCCAAACCACCTGTAACAAAGACCAAACCTCAGTCTAATTTGCCTACTCTTCCAATACTCAAATGACATCTTTGCTTAGGCCACCAGCCTGGAAGACTCATTGAATGGGAACTGGGGAACTCTGGAGCTGTGGGAGGGGAGACAGCTGACATGAGACAGGGCAGCTTTGGTAGTGAGCACTAGGATACCAAATTGCCTAAGTCATATAAGACTCCTACCCCACACCTCCCAAGAGACTGTACCTACCGAGTCCCTTCCTTGTTGGACTCCAGTCGGAACCAATCGTTGTCAGCATTCTTGTTGTTCTCCACATACTGGAAGCAGAGAATGAGGTTCTTTGAGAGAGGAGTTGGGGTCAAGGGCAGTCCCCCTCTCGAAAGAAAAGTGTGGGGTTACTTTTCTTTAATATGTTTATCTAATTTTTCTAACAAAGCTGAAGACAAGGTTATACTGGTAAGTGGGGGTTTGTCCATAACAGAGAATACAATGTTTGGGTTCCACCACTCAATTTAGCAAGCACAAAAGACCTGAAGATACCATCTAGATTCTCCACTCACTACTGATAGTGTCTGCCCTCATCCCGCAACTCATAACAGTAGACCCCTTCCTTGAGTGACTCCCTTCCTTCTGGCTTCATATAGTCCTGTTTATAACTAGCACCCACATGCTAATGACTCCCAGATTTTTTTTTTTTTTTTTTTTGATACGGAGTTTCGCTGTTGTTACCCAGACTGGAGTGCAATGGCACAATCTCGGCTCACCGCAACCTCCACCTTCTGGGTTCAAGCAGTCCTCCTGCCTCAGCCTCCCGAGTAGCTGGGCCTACAGGCGCACACCACCATGCCCAGCTAATTTTTGTATTTTTAGTAGAGACGGGGTTTCACCTTGTTGACCAGGATGGTCTCAATCTCTTGACCTCGTGATCCACCTGCCTCAGCCTCCCAAAGTGCTGGGATTACAGGCTTGAGCCACCGCGCCCGGCCCCTGACTCCCAGATTTTTATCTTTAGTCTAGGTCTTTCCTCAGAACTTCAGACTCTAGTATCCAACTGTATTTTGAAATTTCGACCTTCATTTCACAGATACTTCAAACTCAGCATTTCCATCTGGAATTTATAATATTCCTTCGGATACACTTTCTGAATTACCAATTTCAAGTGGTAGTGTTAGCATTCACCCAAGGAAAAACCTGGGAATCATCCCTGACCCTCCCTATCCCTTACTTTACTAATCAATGATATCGTTCTGATTCTACCTTCTGAATATTCTTCAAATCTACCTCTTCTCTCTAGTCTCACTACAACTGCCTAATTTAGATTGCCTTTTGTTTTGCTGAGATTAATGACAGCCTCCTAACTTGTCTCCTGCCTTCAATCTTGTCCCTGTCAATTCTATTTTCCCCTTATTGCCAATGCAACTGACCTAAACGCAAATCTGGCCATGTTATTCCTCAGCTTAAAATCCTTTAACGCCATCCCAAAGCCTCCAAGAGAAAATTAAAGCGTGCAAACCTGTCTCCTAGCTTTGTCTACCATTGCCTACCTCACATTTGATGCTCTAACAACTCAGAGCTACTCTGTTTCTTCAAACACATCATGCCTGTGCCATTTGTAGAGCCTATTGCCTTTGCTCATGCTGTTCCTTTTGCCTTGAATGTCTTTCCACTCTTACGTTTTATCAGGTTAACTTATGTTTACTCCTTAAGTTTCAGCTCAAGCATTACCTCTTCCTCTTCCAGGAAGCCTTCCGTGATCAAATGCAAGCTGGGTATCTCCCCTCATGCTCTCAAAACATCCTAGCCATTTCTCGCTTTACATCTGTCCCTATCTGTCTCCGTCTTCCTCCACTTAAACGCTGTATTCTAGTTATCTGGTTTTGTCTACCTCAGTAAGTTCTACCTTATTCGGCTTGGTATCTTCTCCCTAGGTTCTGTATGTACAGTAATTTTTTTTTAAGTGAATGACTACATGAGGTAGGAGAATTAGAACTGCTGGCCTTTGAAGCAGACCGAAACGACTACAAAAAGACAAACTTTTTTATCCTCCCACAGTAGAGAGATTAGGTGAGAAGACCACCCGTTTCTAACTATGAGCTAAACTTCCCAACTCTGTGTAGTTAACACCTACTTGAATTTTCAGCCCTAACGTGGTTTGCAAAAGTGAAGGAGGGAGCAGAGAGATGCGGACAGGGGCTTAGCGCCCTGAGGATTTTTGACCACCTCTCCTACATCCAGGTGAACAAACACCTGGAGCCTGGAGACACCTCACCTTCCGGGGAGGCGCATCCCAAAAATAACTGCTGCTTTTAGCCGCAAGGTCTGGCCCCACTGTGCACCTCACCTGAGTCTTTTTTGCCCTTTCCCCACCATCCCTGCTTAATCCCCCAGCCCCGCAATCGTCCCATTTCTATAATTTGGGCATGAAACTTAAAAACCGGAAGCAGCTTCCACACGGAGCCTATTATTGAGGACACCTGATTTCCCGCAACCCTTCCGCTACGCGTTAGACAGTAGAAACACAACTGACCCGAATAAGGGACTGATATTCCTCCTTCAGTCGCTGCACCCATAACTCCCGATCTCGGGGTCCGGCATTTGTCTTCAGCACCGGAATCTCAGACACAACACGTCGCGTGGCCTCATCCGCCATCTTGGACCAGGGCGCAAGGGAAACACGGAAGTGGTTGTAGCTTGTAGCTTACTTCAAGGCGCCGCCATCTTTATTATGGGAAGATGAGACGTTTCGGTTGCCGTCAGACTTCTTTGAATAAGGTCTTTATTTTCTTGTACCTAGTTACCCGCTTGTGAGTGCATCGAGAAGAACAGAATGTAAATAGATTACTCTGTTCTATATGTGACACCTGTCATTAAAATCACCGCACAAGGCACAAAGGGTGACTTCCGTTCATGCTCAGAGAAGTAATCGCAGAAAACCCGTACACCTTCCCACACCTGGAAAGCTCTTAGAACTTCAGGCTGCTGAAGGCACTTTTCAAGGCACTGCCTAAAGCGAGCGATTCGTGTGTTTCCTCTTCGAAGACTTTTTCTTTGCTTATACATAGGCCTGCCTAGATGCAGTTATTCCATAAAAGGATGTTTAACTCCTGATAAATATTAGAAACCATGCAGAATCAAAAGATAAATCCCAGCAAAATGTGCGCTTTAGTCTAGTCATTCGCTGAGTCCTAGATTTTTTTTTTTTTTTTTTTTTTTTTAAGACAGCGTCTTACTCACTCCAGCCCAAGCTGGAGTACAGTGGTACGAGCATAGCTCGCTGCATCCTCCATCTCCCAGGCTCAAGCAATCCTCCTGCCTCAGCCTCCCAAAGTACTGGGATTACGGGTGTGAGCCACCTGGCGCAGCCCCCTAGACATATTTTGATCTGGAATTAACTAATCTAGGAAGTAATACTGTCTCTCTAACCTAAGTGAATGACACACAGTAGGTACTCAGTAATCCTTTTGCAAAATGTTATATTTCAAGACTGGACCTGTAATGCCAGCACTTTGGGAGGCCAAGGCAGGCAGATCACGAGGTCAGGAATTCAAGACCAGCCTGGCCAACATGGTGAAACCCCATCTCTACTAAAAATACAAAAATAGATTAAAACAAACACACACACACACACACACACACAATTAGCTGGGTGTGGTGGCATGTGCCTGTAAGTCTCAGCTACTCGGGAGGCTGAGGCAGGATAATTGCTTGAACCTGGGAGGCTGAGGGTGCAGTTAGCCAAGACTGCACCATTGCAGTCCAGCCTGGGCAACAGAGTGAGCCTCTGCCTCATAAATAAATATTTTAAAAACTTATATTCTAGTTGGTCTTAAAATCTAAACATATTAATTTCAGCCTTTTTTTTTTTTTTTTTTTTTGAGACAGAGTTTTGCTCTTGTTGCCCAGTCTGGAGTGCAAGGGCACAATCTCGGCTCACCGCAACCTCTGCTTCGCGGATTCAAGTGATTCTCCTGCCTCAGCCTCCCGAGTAGCTGGGATTATGGGCACGCGCCACCACGCCTGGCTAATTTTGTATTTTTAGTAGAGACAGGGTTTCTCCATGTTGGTCAGGCTGGTCTCGAACTCCCAACCTCAGGTGATCCGTCCACCTCAGCCTCCCAAAGTGCTGGAATTACAGGCGTGAGCCAACTCGACCAGCTAATTTTGGCTTTAATTTAAATATTCTGTTTGGCAGGGGTGGTGGCTCATGCCTGTAATCCCAGCACTTTGGGAGGCTGAGGCTGGTGGATCACTTGAGGTCAGAAGTTCGAGACGAGCCTGACTAACATGGTAAAACCCCATCTCTACTAAAAATACAAAATTAGCCGGGATACCACGTCCGTAATCTCGGCTACGTGGGAGGCTGAGGCAGGAGAATCGCTTGAACCCAAGAGGCCCAGGTTGCAGTGAGCCATTGCACTCCAGCCTGGGCAATAAGAGCAAGATTCCTTTTCAAGACCGGGCGCGAGCCACTGCGCCAAGCCAAAAAATGTTTAAAAATTAGCCAGGCTGCCGGCGCGGTGGCTCACGCCTGTAATCCCAGCACTTTGGGAGGCCAAGGCGGGTGGATCACGAGGTCAAGAGATCGAGACCATCCTGTCAACATGGTGAAACCCCGTCTCTACTAAAAATACAAAAAATTAGCCTGGCATGGTGGCGCGTGCCTGTAATCCCAGCCACTCAGGAGGCTGAGGCAGGAGAATTGCCTGAACTCAGGAGGCGGAGGTTGCGGTGAGCCGAGATTGCGCCATTGCACTCCAGCCTGGGTAACAAGAGCGAAACTCTGTCTCAAAAAAAAAAAAAAAAAAAAAAAGAAGATTCCTTTTCAAAAAAATAAAATCTAAACACATTAATTGTAGATTTAATTTAAATACCCTGTTTGGCCAGGTGTAGTGACTCACACATGTAATCCCAGCACGTTTGGAGGCTGAGGTGGGTGGATGGCTTGAGCCCAGGAGATCGAAAACAGCCTAGCCAACATGGTAAAACCCCATCTCTACAAAAAATACAAAAATTAGCTGGGAGTGGTGGTGCACACCTGTAGTCCCAGCTATTTGGGGGGCTGAGACAGGAGGATCGCTTTAACCTGGGAGCTCAAGGTTGCAATGAGCCAAGATCACGCCACTGCACTCCAGCCTGAGGGACAAAGTGAGACCAAAATTTTTTTTGACATAAATAAATATCCTGTTTATTCAGTGAATCATTTCAGCCTTTGGTGATTTTTGTTTTGTTTTGTTTTGTTTTTTTTTGAGACAGAGCCTCCCTCTGTCACCCAGGCTGGTGTGCAGTGGCACGATTTCAGTTCACTGCAACCTCCACCTCCTGGGTTCAAGGTTCTCCTACCTCAGCCTCCTGAGTAGCTGGGATTACAGGTGCACGACACCATGCCTGGCTAATATTGTAGTTTTAGTAGAGATGGGTTTCACCATGTTGGCCAGGCTGGTCTTGAACTCCTGACCTCAGGTGATCCACCGCCTTGGCCTCCCAAATTGCTAAGATTACAGGCATGAGCCACCACACCCAGTCTCCAGTACAATATTGAGTAAGAGTGTTACTAGCAGATATCCTCGTCTTGGTCTGCCTTTAGGGGGAAAATCAGTGTCTTTCTCCGTTAAATATGATGTTACCTGTGGATTTTTCATGGATGGCCTTTATCAGGTTGAGGAAGTTCTCCTCTTGCATTGAGGGTTTTTCTCATAAGGGAGTTTTATGTTTGTTTTTGAGACAGTCTCCCTCTGTTACCCAGGCTGGAGGGCAGTGATGATCTCAGCTCACTGCAACCTCTGCCTCCCCTCCTCCATTCAAGAGATTCTCCTGCTTCAGCCACCTGGTAACTGGGACCACAGACACAGGCCACCAGGCCTGGCAATGTTTGCGTTTTTAGTAGAGACGAGGTTTCACCATGTCAGCCAGGCTGATCTCCAACTCCTGACCTCAGGTTATCCACCTGCCTTGACCTCTCAAAGTACTAGGATTACAGGCGTGAGCCACCACTGCGCCTGGCCTTATTTTTTTCAAATGATTTTTCCGTGTTGATTGAGATGATGGTGTGGTTTTTGTTTTTTATTAGCATGCTATATATCTCTTTCATTAAAAACATTGGATATTGGTTAAGGCTAAGGCAAAACTTTGTACTTCTTAACTAGAGATCTCTCTTCTAGGGGAAATAAGATTGATTCTATTTTGGGTGAAGCACTGAGGTGTGATATTGAGAGCAGAGATTTGGAATGAGGCTTTGCAATTTAATTGTCCTAAGACTTTAGAGAGTTAACTCTCTGAATTGCATTTTCTCAACTATAAAATGAGGATATTAAGGCTTTTGGTGGCTCACACCTTTAATCCCAGCCCTTTGGGAGCTAAGGGAGGAGGATTGCTTGAGCCCAGTTCGAGAAGAGCCTAGGCAAAATAGAGAGACCTCGTCACCACAAAAAGTTTAAAAATTAGCTGGCTGTGGTGGCATGCACCTGTGGCCCCAGCTACTTGGAAAACTGAGATAGGATGGCTTGAGTCTGGGAGGTCAAGGCTGCAGTGAGCCGTGAATGAACCATTGCACTCTGGCCTGGGTGACAGAGTGAAACTCTGTCTCAATTAAAAAAAAAAAAGCTTGGTCAGGCGTGGTGGTTCATTTCTGTAATCCAAGCACTTTGGAGGCCAAGGCGGGTGGATCACCTTGTTGGTCGGGAGTTCAAGACCAACCTGACCAACATGGCGAAACCCCGTCTTTATTTTAAAAAAATTTTTTTTAAAGCTTCTATAGTTATAACTGTATATGCAATGGGCATTCATTTACATAATAGGCTGCCAGGATGAAATTCATAAAAATAAATGGCAGTTTTCAAACTTTTATATAGTAGTGAAGCCAGGTTTACAAACAAAATCTTAAGCTGGGTGCAGTGGCTCACACCCATAATCCCAGCATTTTGGGAGGCTAGAGGTAGGCAGATCACCCGAGGTCAGAGGTTCAAGACCAGACTGACCAACATGGTGAAACCCCATCTCTGTTAAAAATACAAAAGTTAGCTAGGCGTGGTGGTGTGTGCCTGTAATCTCAGCTACTTGGGAGGCTGAGGCAGGAGAATCACTTGAACCCGGGAGGTGGAGGTTGCGGTGAGCCAAGATCTCACCACTGCACTCCAGCCTGGGCAACAAGAGTAAAACTCCGACTCAAAAAACAATAAAACAACAAAATCTTTCCTGGAGTCTCAAATTATAAAAATGATAAATGCAGAGCTGGTCTTGTTTAAGTGCAGGCAGAAGACCTGTTTCCCTAAGAATACTACTATGGTAACTACTCATCATACTTTATTAACTGTATAATTGTCTTGATAGCCTGGAAGCTCAATCAGGGTAGCAATTGTGTATCTATCTTGTTCAATGCTGTACTTCTAAAACCTAATATAGCGTCTGCCACAGAGTAAATGTTCAATCAATATTTTAACATCAATGAGTATCTTGATACATAAGGTAAGCACCAGAAAAGCTGTCTTTATAAAGTTGCATGTTGTTTTTGTTTCATTGTTTTGGAAAATCATCTTATTAAACCATTTAGTAAAGCACAGCACATAATATGTATGATAATACAAAGTACAGTCTCTGTTATAAACATAGACCTACCTCTATAATAGGCATAGTTGCATCTCTGTAGGATATGCCTCTTTTAGAGAAATGGTTAGTTTTAAACTATGGATTTAGCTTATTATTAAGTAATGCTCACATGAGACAAGAAGCTAAAATTGAGAAGGCTGAAGGAAGAGTATGTAGGCCTGAGCCTCACTGTTTTTCAGAGGAAGAACTCATTCATGAG